AGTAGTAAGTAGTAACTAGTAAGTAGTAAGTAGTAAGTAGTAAGTAGTAAGTAGTAAGTAGTAAGTAGTAAGAGTAGTAGTAGTAGTAGTAGTAGTAGTAGTAGGAGGAGGACACCCCCCGGGTGCGACGCCAAGACCTATCATGTTTCAGACTTCGTGTTGTTAGAAATGCAATGGTTTACAGCGTTTGTTTTCTCCCTGTTCAAATTTTGGAAAGCGTGTGGGTTTTTGTGTTTGTTGTTTGTTGAAACTTGCATTTCAATCTTGCAGCCAAACATGCTGGTATTTACAGCACTCGTCTTTGAGCGTGCGTTGTTTTTTGGCTGTTTTTTGAGGCCCGGATTTTCATTAGCGAACAGACTTAAGTTTTTTGTCTGGTGGTCTTGATGTTCATCCAAAGCGTTAGAGAACAGAGCACCCGTGCCCAAAACCTAGTGCCGTCCATGGTTCAATGCGCCTGCGAACAGAACATCCATGCCTAAAACCTATTGATTTCCATGGTCTAGTGCGGTTCAAAACAGAGCATCCATGCCCAAAACCTAATGACGTCCCATGGTCTAGTGCGTTTGAGAACAGAGTAGGTCAAGATGCTAATCACTGTTCGTTGCCAATCGTCGCTGCTGTTACTGTCTTTCATGTTTGGCATCTTGCCACATTCAATACGCCTGGTTGGTGCCATTCCATTCCATGTATTTTCGCAATCAGGGTTCTTCTGTCGAGGGACTCCACAAGAAACGATGCTTCCACAACATGATCATGAACACCGGACTCAGACTTGTCCTGGCATCGCCCAATGATTCATGGTTGAATGACCACCAGGACCAGTCGCTCAGTGTCTCATCTCAGTGCCATGGGAGACAGTCACACACTCGCACATATGAATCCTACACAAAAGGATCGTCCCCTGGTAGATTATCCGTTGACAAGCCTATGCCCTTAAGCCTTAAGTTTCAACGATACCACGGGCTAGCAAGTTGCCTCAGGGCCAATTCAAACGTGCATGAAAGTGCTCGTTCTTCCTAGCGGGCTTGCTTCCAAGGTGCCGCTCACCTGGCAAACGTGCAGTAGCTCTTTGCCCAAACATTTGATCCTAAGTTGCCCAAAATCTTGAAAGCAGACTCTGAGCTGCACCGGACAACTTTCTCCCTCCATCTACTCAGACCAGCGTCTCTGGACCACCCCAAGCCTTGGAGGACCAGTTCGCTAAAGCCACGCAAGAGCTGTGACCCACTCAGTGTCAGACACACTTGCGAATCTCTGCGTCATCGGGGTCACCGCCCAGTGCCAAGCATTTTGCCTCTGTCTCCTCTAGCACATGCAGGTCACAAACGCGCTTGAAATTGCCTGCCCTGGCCTTGCCGTATTTTGTCACGATTTCTTGCTGCCCTCTGCACGGACTCAGCAGAAAGGATCGCAGGTTTCCAGCCTTTAGCCACTCGCAGCTACTTGTACTTGAACAAATGCCGGAATTCTGTCTGGGCCAGGTTGCTTCTGCTGTGCCAAACTTCCCCGACCAGCAAGAACCCGGCCCAGGGCTGGGATTCGGTACGTACGAACCAGGTATGTATGTATGTATGCATGATGATGCATGCACGGGCGTGCGAACTTTCTTTCGAAAGGGACGGGGCAAGGGGCGGGGGTGGGGGTGGGTGTTGAGGGTATGAGCACGCAGAACGTACGTGCACACGTTCTGTCTTTTGCCTGTGCGTCCACCAATACTGTTTAGGCCTCGAAGTACCGAAGTACTTGCATGCACGTGCCCGAGTAGGCATGTATGTCTGTACATATAAGTAAGATTAAGTAAGTAAGTATGTATGTACGTATGTATGTCTTGTATATGTATGTACCACTACGCACCTACGACGCCGAACGCTTTTCTTGAGGGGGGAGAAAAAGGTTGGGCGTAAGTACGCTCGTACGTAAATGTATGTACATAGAAGTACATGTTCGAGCATGCATGCATGGATGTATGTATGTATGTGGTTCCATGCATGTATGTGCGTACGAACAACAAGAGGGCACATAGTATGTAGGTTCGGGCGTAAATGCACGTAGGCCATTATGTTAGCTAGTTCCTCGAGTTAACTAATATTACTATATTACGGATGTACGTACGTACCTGCAATACCGACAATACGCCCGCATTTTCCTGCACCTCCATGTAGGCTAACCTTAGACAAACTAGTTGATCAAGCTTCGGGATATTCGGCAGATATCCGATCATACGCGTACGTACCTGCGACGCCGATATGGGCAGAAACCTACGTCTGTTCGCACATGCACCGAGCAGGCATGCCCGTACGACTGTGTGACGGATGGATGGAGGGATAAATGGATGGATGGATGATGGATGGCTGGATGGGTGGCTGGCTGGCTGGCTGGATGGATATGCGTGCATGTGAACTGGAGTATGACATGATCGACGAGCACCCCGTATGCTCTTGTGACCCCTTTGCGTTCGGGGATGGATGCATGCTATCATGGCTGGGGCATAGAAACTTGCTTGGTACTGACGGCACATACATACGCACAGTATACCCACATGCAACGGTATGTGAATACATCCTCAAGCAGAAGCTGCTTTGTATGCGATTACGAAAACGGCAGCGTAGGGAGCAAGTCCTGGTTCACACAGGCAGAGTGCGAGTCGTAGGTGAATGTGTCGAAGGAGTGGCAGGTCTCCTTGCATTTCACTAAAGCAGTCTATGAGCATCACTCTGCAGTTGGTTGCAAGAGCCGGGTATGTAATTTTCCACATCGGCAAGAGGCGTAGGAGTAGTACAAGGCTTTCTTGCGGTAATTCGCCTTCGGGAAGTAAGTCGACACCTTAGTCCGAGGGAAGCATGGACACGCTCTCCAGTGACACATGCCTTTGATTATGAAGTTCTGGCAGCGTACCACGCCCTGTTTTACACACCATTTATCTGAGAGTTACCCCCAAGCTGAACCGGGAGAAAGCTTCTAAAATCGCTGGACACCCAGTTTGGCAGCAACCGTCAGAGAATTGATGAATGCAACACTTTCCTGAAAGTGGTGGTGGAAGCGTTGTCCAGCACAACTGTCCACCGAAAGCGAACATTGGGGTGGTCTCAGTTACCATCAGTGAACCTTACCGAGCATTGTCCAAGGATGTGTGATTCTGCTATCCCATGGCCATAGAAGTTCAGAAGCGTCGCGGAAGCGAAGAGGAAGTCGCCAAGGCGGTCAGGCTCGACTTCATCGGGCGAGGCTTGATGCCGAGCGCCGAGCCAAATTTTGAAAGCAGTTTGAGCGGAATGCCATCTCAGTTTTTGAAGGGCGTTCACCTTGCTCATATAGCAGCGGAGAGAGTTGGCCGAAATCGCCAACTCTCTCCTTTTCGGTTTCGGATGTGGGACGCCTCAGCCGCGGGCGCGGACTCCCTCCGGGATGCGCTGGGTCTTGGCCATTGCTCTGCTTCGGGCTGTTGTTCAAAGTTTGCCGCTTGCATGTCGAAGTCCACATGGATGGGCCGAAAAGTTAACAGGACACGATAGGAGAGCGGAAGGCCGCAACATCTTCACATCCAGAGCACTTTTGGGAGCTCTTCGATGTTGCACGTGCAGGGGTCCACGTAGCACCACTGCCGATGGCACCTGAGAAGAAGGTTTTCGAGCACTAAGATTCCGTTTCCGATGTGTGCGATCTGCTCTCTCGGTCTCCATGGCACCAGCCGGGCTGTTGCGCTTTCTGACAGTCTGGATGCCGCCCGTCGTCCCAGCTCTGGCAACTGGAGCCCAGATCGGCCGGGAACCGAAACCTCGGAGGTCGGAGGCTGGACGCTGAAATTCGCACGCCTCTTCTTTCAGGGCAGGTGGCTGCTGATTTGAGATATTGACCAGGAGATCTCCGCTGAGCCCAGCGATTCCAATGCACTTGCATTTCGCATTGCCCATCAGGTCCTGATCAACTGGACGCCAACATGCTATCATAATTACCAGTATGGTGCTGGGATGCAACATCCTTCTGGAATTTGTTCGTGTTGCAAGCCGAAAGCAAAGGCCCACCTGCTGTAGCACACGAAGTCACACGAAACGAACTCAATGCATTTGCTTGATCTGTACACAAGCTGCATCCCTTTTTGCCTTCTTTGCCGCTTTGGTTCGAGGCGCAGGTTGCGGCAGAGGCGTACACGGGGTGACCTGAAACTCTGACGACTCGTCAGTCGGTCCTTCAGTTCACTGCTGATTGAACGGGGGAAGAGGCTTGCGGGCCTTGCCAGAGGAGTCCTTGCCACTTCGGATGTTCTCGTGATGACGCGTTGCCTGAGCTCCACTTGCGTTCTGCGGTGCTCAAGCTCCAATCAAAGACACGGAAAAAGGACATCGAGACACAACACACATTGCATGTGTTACACCTCAACTTCGAACGAGCAACAACGGCCGAAGCAGTCAAGCCACAGTTGCATGGATCCACGAAGCACCACGATTCCTGCGCCGTCCAGCAGGACGCATCCTTGCCAGCTACGCAACGAAGGGGTCAATTGCTGCTTCGAACAAAGTATATATGTGGAGGATACCATCCGTTCATACGACGAGTGGCTGACTTCGGCCTGCAAGACCTTGGACATGCAATCTTCGTCTCTGAACTTGGAAAGCGTGGCGAATATGGACACTCCGATCAGATAAGTGATGCCATGGGGAGGTCCGTGCAAATCGTATCTCTTTAATGCAACTTCGACAAAGGCACTTGTCCCAGATGTCGCAGTGGGCCCCGATGCCAGCTGGGTATGCCTGAGGGTTAATGTCAAACATCACACCCTGGCGCGATGCGACGGCTCTGATAGCTTTGCATGCTGAGCACGTTGGCTCGAAAGCAGATTTTTTCAGCCCTTCCGTTGCCTCCGAGGTCGAATTTCTGCTTTGAGACTTCACCGTCCTTGACAGAGGAGTTAGCATAGTACACTCTGACGGCAGCTCATGGCAGCGTTTCAGGTCCAAGACTCCCGCGTAGTTGGTCCAGGCCAATGCAGGGGCAGCCCGGACCACCAAGGGAGATCACCGAAGGAGAACTGGAAGCTTCAAAACCTCGGCATTTTGATTCCGGCAAGCCGAGCTACCACGAGATGCGGTTGCACGCGTTCGCGAGCGAGCGTTGCAAGCGACGACATTCTCTCGGCTTTGGTGTGGTGCGTGTAGCATGCGCGTTCTTGCTGCTATGCAAGTACAAACAGCAAGGCAACTGCAAATGACTGAAAGTTGAAGGCTCTATTTCTTGCAGACCGAGCTACCGAGCTGCGTGGCACGCTGCAACAGCTTGTGTCCTGCGAGCTGCAGAAAGGAAGAGGCGACTGGAATCCCGGCAGTGCAGCTCTGCGATGCTTTGGTATTCAGATGAAACAGCCAGGCTTTACACTTGGACACTCTGAAACTATGTCAGTTCAATCAACCTGCTAATTACATAGGTATGCTGCAGCTCGCAGAAACTTTAAACCTGTTTGAGTCCTCGAGAAGCCTGGCCTGAAGCAGCAGAAGCATCGCCACAGGTTGATGTTGAAGCTGTCGGAACTGCAGCCGCAAGAGGCTTCGCTGATTCGGAACACGCCCCTCGAGTCACTCGTCAATGTTCTGCAGAAAGTCCGACCCTCCCAAGACATACGCTGCCCTCGGGGCTGCACAAACAGTTAAACAAAGGCATAGGGACCAGGGAGATGCGTGACAGTCCGACCGGTAATGGAATCCCCAAGAGCCGGAACGCATCAGAAGGAATCTGTTTGTGCTATGTAAGAGCATGCCACGCTTATCAGCAGTTGAAGGTAGTCCGAAAAGGCGCCAAAGTATGACGGCGGTCATGGTGTCTGTGTGCACAATGGGCAAACCACATGACTATCATGATTGGCAACATTTCGAAGATCTTCGGGCCCTCGATGCGACTGCTCGAATCGTTCAACTGCACCGTGCTTCATTGCACCAGATGCTGCTAAGGAGCCGATGAACCCGAGCAGAAGCACAAGGGACCTGCACATGCACAGAGTAAGAGTAAGCCCATGCAAAAGCCACGAACCAAAATGCCAACACGGGTCTCAAATCAGCCCACCTTTGTCCCATTCACTGGCAATCCCAGAGTCGGTATGCGGCAGGGGTAAGGTGCCAGGGCCGTGTCGCCATTGGGATCCATCGGGCCACAGGCTGCAGACATGAGGTACAATGAGGGCTATGCACAAAAGCTTCCATAGCCTGTGCGAAAGAAAAACGCCGCACGAGACTCACACCAAACAAAGCATTTATTGCTGAGCTGATGTACCTCTCTGCAGCTGGCTTTCTGCACATCCAAGCGGCCACGGCAGCCTCAGTGAGAAGCTGTGAATCAGTGACTGTGCCAGGACTAAACAACTTACGACCCAATACGCGCGTGGCATGCGTGCACCTTACTGTAAACTGTGGGCTGGCGCGAAGCCGATCGATGCATGAGATGTGACGATGCATGATCGCTTTTTGTGCCCGCGAGGCATCGCTGAACGCTTTGCAGACTCGTTAGTCTCAACTGTACACTGTCTGGCAGCAGGGTACAGCACTACATTCCTTAAGCGCCACGTCGGTGGGAACTGACCCATACACATCGGCGGCATACTCCGCAGACGAAGCATTGGGCCACGGCCACAACTTTCTTGCAGAACCTGCGAATGAAGCACAATGCAAGGAAAGACACTGCCAGATTCTGCCATGGTGCATCGTGCTGTCCCACATCGACACGGATGCCGAGCAACACGTAGTCTGCGGCGGCAGAATCTTGAAGGGAGTCCAGTCGATGCCCACAGGATCAAGGTTCCTGAGCTTGAACTCGCTTGTCGTGCTTCGTAACCTGATGATATCTTTGGCTGCAGGGGCCAAGGCGGCAGCGTTATTCTGTTTATTCCTCTCTGCCTGCCGGCCCTGTCCTGTGAATTCATTGCCAAATCTAGACTTGGTTGCTCTCGGATTTCATGAATCGCTCGAGTATTCTGGCTGTTGCACCACAGCCACGTGTACTTCCGCCTCCCGAAATGCGCGCGTGCCACACTGTCGTCTGCATCTTGAGTCCGCCACAGTCCCTTGCATATTTTCTGGTGTGCCAATCGTGCTTCTGTTGCAGTATCGCGAGCTATTTGGACCTACGAGGGGTGTTGGGGGCCTGAACAGTGGTGTAGACATGGTTGTTGGGATGTCGGGCATGGACTACTGGGTGTCCTTCCACTTGTTGGTCCAGGCTGACATAGCTCTTCCTAATTGTCTGTCTAAGGCTGCTCTCATTCATGTTCAAGTTTAAAACATCGCTAAGGCTTGAGCAGCAGCAGCGGCACCAACCCTAAGGAGGCACAGTCTTAAGACTGAGTCCTACAAGCAATACCAATGGAGAAGCAGACTCTGGAACGTCTTCAACGGTCTGGTTCGACCTGGCATGTCTTGAACGCGGATACGAGTTTCGGCTGCTGCGATTACCGCCGCTGCTACTGCCACTATTGCCAATTGCCAATACTGGTAACATCGCCGAAGCCCGTGGAGCAAAACCGGCACCAATCTCAATTGGGGCAGGCTGGCAAACTTAAACATACTGCCCCAGCTTCCCTTTCACAAAGCAATCCAAACCAAGGCTCACAGTTCTCGATCTGCACACTTCCAGCTCCTTCTCTTCAACACCGCCTCCAGCTGGCATCGTCAATATGTCTAACAAGACTAGGGTAGCTACGTGGCGCCGATGGGGCGCCTTCGAAGGCTTTGAGGATGCAAATGATCCGCTTCAATGCGCGATATTCCTGCTTCATTTCTTTCTCCAAAGCTGCCACTGTCTTGTTCTGCTCCAGAAAGTTTGCCCGTGCTCGCTCATAGCACTCCTGCAGCACGGCAGGATGCAGCAACTTCTCCAGACTTTAAGCCTTTGGTTTTCCTCAATATTGATGTTGACAGAACCGGCTGTTCTAAGTTTCTGACAATAACGCCGCGCACACGGCACTCTACAAGATGTACGTTGACAGAGCATCCCAAGAATGGAAAGCCACCTCTCATGATTAACCACCTCGATCATGTTCTCACGACCAATCCGGAAAGAAATCTAGTTTTTTAGTTCTTGGTAATTGTGCCACTGTCGGAGCAAAAGACTCGCATTGGGGGTGGGATCACGACAGCTTCTGCGGAGATCCCAACCCAACCAAGATTCCCGTTCTCCGTAATTACATCTTCGACTGGCCAGTTCTGACAATGCAGTCGCGCGTGTTGCGGCGGAAGATGTGAGGGACGAATGGATAGAGGACACGTTTCAAACGTCCGGTTCTGTCAAGCATACACGGCATTGTAGACAAGTCATGTAAAAGGAAGGACTCAAAGGAGAGCACAGGAATGGATCCTGAACCCTGTCTGGCAACTTTCTGCCCCTGTGCCTTAATGATTGCAGAGCCTGAATCCTTGCTTTCCTCGACATCTGGCTTCCTCATGCTTCATCACTAAGCTACTGATAAAATGCTTTGACGGTTGTCGTCAAAAGCCGACATCTACATCTTCCTGCTTACAAGGCAGATTGAACAGGATGAGACAGAAACTCCAGGCCTCGTAGCTGTGGCAGCGCCTTTCTGCAGCAACCTTTCCTCCACAAATGCGATGATCCAGATCGTCCTGTGCTCACGAGCACGTGCTCGTGGATATTGACGGTTTCGCTTGCAAGCTCTCTACCTGCTGTTAACTCGATGCTCTCGACGGCAGGGCCTCGCATGCTAAAGCCGAACCAAAAAAAGCACTCCACTCCTGAAGCGAATTGCAAATGGCACGTAGTTGTTGCTGTTGCTCCTGGCTGCGACCGACACTTGCCATGCTGGAGTGTCGAAGGAGTGGCTGAAGCAGGACTCCTCCAAAGCAGCTTTCCTGAGTCGAAGCGACTCCGTGCTGTTGGCAGCCGTATCACAGCTTTCTTTCCTTCGAACCCACCTTGGCAGTCAGGCTCTCAAAAACCTGGGACATGGCAAACGAGGCTCCTTAAATCTCCTTAAGGACATCAAGATCTCACAGGTCTGCACCCCTTTTAGGGCTTCGGCTGTGACTCCTCTACGGGTACGTGAGACCAGGATTTGCCACTTTTGCCACATTCCCATCTGGGCCAGACGGGGTCGCGCTCCGCAGCTGGAACGCTGCGTGTGGCAACGCTTCCCTACTGCCCTATGCGCCTAAGGCCCGTGAGCCACTGATGTTGGCACTGCGGTAGTTTAGGTGAGCTTTCGTTTGTGAACTCAGTGCGGATTGGAGGCGCACATACCTTTGTCTTGAACTTATGTTGTCTTTAGGCCAACGGAAGGAAGGAAGGAAGGAAGGCAGGAAGGAAGGAAGGAGAAGCCAAGAAATCGACGCCAACAGCGAAACTGAAGGGCTCCTGTTCTTGACATTCCGCATCCTTCCTGTTCTTTCGAATGCGCGTTCCTGGTGGTGCTCGTAGTGATGCCGACGACGGCAAGGCTGACGATGCGAATTGTGAACACTTGTAGTGCCTGTACTGCTGCAGATGCGGCGGATGTCATGGCGAGAACAACGATTAGGACCAGGAGGAGACGAGAATGCAGTGAATGAAGAAGCGAACCTCCGTGACTTCGTGTCGCCACAGTGCATGAGGCTCAGGAGTTAGAAAATTCAAGGTTGGCAAAGACATCTGCAACGCCCTTCAAGGGCGTCGGAGGGACGAGAAAGGGCCAGGCCCAGAAGAGAGACATGCCATCGCATGGCGTCGCATCTATGCAAATCGGAAGAAATAAACTTGCCCGGAACGCAAGCAGATGCAGTGTGCACGTGGCATCTCAGCGAAAAGCATTGCGAGCTCCCAACTCCCTCTTGACACAGTTTGCTGCAGGCCCAAACGGTGGGAACCTCCTGCTTGCCGCCGGGAGGCTCGTCATATTTGTCTCTGAACTTGTTTCTCAATGCCTCTGCATAGTATCGCATCGTGTCAGGATGCTGCGGCACTCCGCACTCATCATGGGACGGGATTTGGTCTATCGCCACGAACTTGGTGCATTCCGACTGTTTGACCTGAGCTCCCAATCCCGGCTGTGTGAGACGGGCACGGCAGATTTTTGCAGCAAGTGCAGCAAGGCTGCCAGATCACTGGCAGACCAAGTCTGAGTGGCCTCTGCAGTTGCGATTGCCTGACGGCTCTCGTTTCCCCTGCAGTAGAAGTGGCGTTCTTGCAGCTCTGCCAGGTCCTCTTGGAGTACTTTTTCCACACGGCAATGCGTGAAGGCCTCGAGTAGACGCCTCAACTCCTGGACCGAAGCTGCACTCCGGTTCAATACCTGGGGTACCATGTCTTCAACCATCTGTCGGATTTGATCAATGAATCCCACGGTAGCATTGTCCATTTCCATTTTGCCAGCCATAGACATCACCCATGTTTCGAGGTCACCGATTTTCTGGGAATCTGATCCCATTGAAAGGAGGTCCAGTCCTTGCAGGTTGCAACAAAACACGTGCTAACGAGAGCGGAACAGTTGGAAAAGCGCAAGCTGCCAAGTAGCGTGGCATCTGAGGCTGAGGTGAGCTCGTGGAGGCTTCAGTCTCCACCAAAGATGGTAGCAACACGAATCCATCCGATACTTCTGCACGCGCTTTAAGGCTTCCGAGGACCAACACGCTGAGAAACCTCGCTGGTTTCCGCATGGCACGCTGAGGCTACGTGAAACTGCGGGATGGGCCCGATGGGGCCGGGGCAGCCATTTCTGTTGCCGGCCCACTTCGTTCTTCCGTTTCGGGATGCAAACTTTGAGCAGAAATGTGGACAGCCATGCACCTAGACCCCAGGGATAAGCTTTCCAAGGTCCAGTGAAAAAGCATCGATCATGCAACAAACGCAGGCAACCGGCAACATGCGCCCATGAGGAAGCCAACATTATTAATAGCCAATTCTTGCAAAAGCGGCCAGGAAGAAGGCCAGGAAGCCGCCTCTGAACCACCTCGGCAGTTTGGGCAGATGCGCCATTTGAAGGGTCGCTACCAAAACGACGTAAAACGACGTCGTGGGGTCTTGCAGCTTCTCCGTGAACCAAAGATAGGCCTCCTGCCGTTTCGCGCCAGAGCCATGGAGCCCCAGCATGTCGATAGAGGAAGTTTAGTTTAGTGACTTAGCGCATGGCCTGGTGGGAGTCGGAGTGCTTCAGGGTCTTCCACAAACATGCAGCCCTTGCGTTTTGGCGTTGTGTGTGTGTGGGGCTCCTGTCATCGATGTCATCGGTCTCTGTGTCATGCTGGTCCAATGAATCCAAACATCAAGCAAAGGCAAAAGTCCGTGGTAGCACCAAAACATACCCGTCATACCAGCACCCCGACTTGTGCCGGCCTTTTACCGCCTTCGCCTTCACTGAGATTGAGCTTGTATGTCGCCTCACTTGAGCGGCACGAACTGGGAGTTCTTGCCCATCATCCCCGCGCGGCCGTGCTTGATCGGTTTGTAGGTAATCGAAAACTCTCCCAAGTAGTGTCCGATCATCTCCTCATGCGTCGCAAACTGAGACTGACCAGGACCACGAACTAGTCATGGTGTTTGGGCGAGTTGCTGGCTTGATCTCCACGTTGATGTACTGCTTGCCGTTGTAAACGCCAACCACGCTCCCTTAGTTCACCCCTCCCTTCCGCGAGCCCGAGTTCCGAGACTCCCACGTGTCGGTGTCAAGGGGCCGATCATCTCTGGCCTTGGCTTCGGGTGCGGCAAAGCTGTTCCCGCCCCTCACACTCGGCACTGCGGCACTGCGTAAATCGGATCCAGGTAGCACGATGACCATGTTTCTCAGGTGCGTCTTCACTGCCTCCGGCTTCTCCCCGTAGGCGGTCTCACGCTTTGCCTGGCCAGACGATGGATCGGGCGGGTAGTGAAGGGAGGGCTGTGCATTTTGCCAGCTGCCAGCCTTGCGCAGTTTCTTGAGCACCGTGATCGGCCTTAAATGCGAGCTGCAAGCCTTCTTGGTTGGGTCATGTCGGGTCGTTTGTATGTTGGTTCATACATGAGCACACGGGGGCCTTTCTTTGTCTGGTGCTCTGGATTTTGCACGGTGGAAACTACTCTGCATACCGGCAAAACACTTTGTGTGACTAAGTCCAGGGCTTGCGCTTGATCCCGCGGCTGAACTTTCGACGCTGGCGCGCGCAAAAAAGCTCCATGAGATCCTGAAGAGTGTGCGAAGCAGTGCGAGTTGAGCGAAACGGCAGGAAAGTGGAGAGAAACTTCCATAAACATGCAACACAAAGAAAGTTTTCTGGTCGCAAACTCTGATGCAAGCAGCGAAGCCATACACTACAAGCTTTCTTGAGATTGGCCTGCAGTAAGAAACAAAGCTCCGAGGCAGTAGCATGCTTGTGCTCATGCTTCTTTGCGTCATATGACCCCCGCCCCCGCCAAGCATGCCAATGGCTTCTCATTTTTTAAGACTGCAACTAGCATTCAGTTTCGAAGCCATGTCATGTCATCATGTTCTTGTGTGGAACTGTTCCGAAGATATGAACCATAGACGAGTGCTTTAGACTCAGTCCTGGAGGTTCGGAGGACCCGACCCGATGTGGGAGATCAAGGGAGTGCAAGAAGACGTGGGTTGGGCAGGAGCAATTCGTGTCGGCTTGCATGGCACTTAGACTGCCCACCTGGTTGCTCATGTCCAGCAATTTGTCGAGATCGATGCCACCTTGTTGGCAAATCAAGCCATTATCCATTCCCTGTCGGAAGTGCACAGCCTTCCTAAAAAACCCTGGGGCCGATGCGGTATGAGTACTTCTTGAAGGTTCGCTTCTTGGGGGCATCCTGCCACAAAGCCCGTGAACACGAGATGCAACCTCTCGCGATACTTCTTTCGTGACAGCCTCGCCGTCCGCCATGGCTCGCCGTGCGTAGAAAGGCTGAAATGCGGTACGATCCCTGTTGAGCCAAAGCCACGGAGATGTCTTCCTCCATGGTATGCAAATGCAAACATATGATGCAACCCGAACAAATCCGAGGCATGCCAGTGGCCAGGCTGTGTCGCGCTCCATTTGCTTGCACGGCTGTCCTTTACAAAGCTGCACTCCTGCGTACACTTCGCGTGAAGCTCTGTCGCCTTGCAAGCGGCTTTCTCCACAGGTGACAGATGCGACAAGCTCGGGTTCGCGGATCTCTAGTCGTGCTTGCACCGTGCCTGCAGTGGCTGCTGGGGAAAGTTCGCCGAGGACAAGACTCCATGTCAAAGCCAGGCCGGAAAGATGTGCCCATCCTGGTACTGAAGTCGTTTCTTCTGGCAGAGGCGGTGCAAAAAGCACAAGATATGGAAACAGCCGCCCATGTTCCAACCCTTACTTTAAAAGCTGGCCTTCGCAAGTGCCACGGCCTCGCTGCGTGTCACGGCCGTGTAGGGCACCGACCTAAAACAACATAAGACTCACCGGAGCATCAGGCTGAAAGCTAAAACGGCGTAGCCACAGCTGGTGAGGCTTCTCGTGCTTGAGGCTGGCGGCTAGATGACCCCACAACAATCGTGCACAGAACACGGCCTTGCTTGCTCTCTTGAGCCCAGGTGCCCATAGACATGTACACAACCATCCGGCCTCAAATAGTGCAGAACCTCGGAGGAAGAGCAGTGGACAAGGAGTGTGGGCTTTGGTCGTGGTCCGAGTCCGAGTGAAGGGCGGAGGCGGCAGCCTGCCTGGATTCAGCGACGGTTCGATGGGGGAATGCGACGGGGGCCGGTGTGTGAGCATAGACAGCTCTGTGATGCTCCATGCTCTCGCCTTGCATCCAGGTCGGGCTCTGCATCTCCCATTGTGCCATGGAGCCATGTCAGGGGCTTCGGCAGCTGCTCCTGTCCGTCAGGCAAGGACCGAAGAGACCGTACCCTGAAAACACTCTTTGCTGGCTGCTTGGCTGGCGGGCCCTTACGGGCTGCTTACGATGTGCTGCCAGCCAGGCGACGGGATCAACTTCCAGCAGCATCAAGTCCTCAAGCCGGAAAGGTCGAGGCCAGGTTTCTGACAGCCCTTCCAGTACGAGTAGCCTTGCAGTCGCTGAAGAAGCGAGCAGCAACGATCCGCACCGCCCGGACGTCGCTTAGATGAACAAAGCCGTCCTGGAGACTCAGCAGTGGACTCAGTGGACATACTCGAGCTATCTCCAGATGTGTGTTGAACGTGTGCGTGCATACCTGTCCTTGGCATCCAGCTCTGACAGGATTTGCTGCTTTTCAGCAAACCTATACTAGGCGGCAGACAGCGGTAGCGCTGACGCGGATTTTCGTTCTTGTTCTGGGCTCCTCACTGTCGTACTTCACTCCCGGTTGCAAGCTTGAAGACCTTTGCAACACGCACACGGAGCATATATTATCTTCTGAGGTTCTGCTGCCCCACCCTGCCAAACGCATGATAGGTCTCATGCTCGTGAAGGTGTGTCAGTCAACCCTGGAATCGCGGTAAAGACCTCAGCTGCAAGAGAGTAAGAGCATGTGAGCGCCAAACATCGATTTGGCTAGGCAGGCCACACGTCCCTCACGAAGCATCGGGAATTCTGCCTCCACCACCTCACACATGCCAACTCCCCATCTTGTGTGAACTAGTGCACCTCGAAGATATGTATAGCATCTGCAGTGTCCGGCACGCATAATGTCACACACCTGCCCCCTCTCACTCGCTCTCTCTCGCTCTCTCTCGCTTCCTTCCTTTCTTCCGTTCTCTTCTTCACAGCCAAAGGAGAGCGCAAAGCACCCCTCCTGCGCGCGAGCGCGCCCTGGTTCTCTCTCTCTCTCTATTCCAAGCCTGCGGAGGTATTCCGCCGTAGACGTGTGGCCCTGGGCAGGCACGTCGCGAAGGCTCGGAATTGGTGGGCAACGAAAGTCTCAAGAGATGACAAGTTCACAGCGGCCCAGTTTCGGGCACGCCCACGGAAACACTGCTTGCAAGGTTTGGGCCTGTCGTGAAATGTATTCAACCCCGCATCTTGCCTTCCGGAATACTTCGAGATTAACGGCGGATGCACGAGACGCAACAACCCGGCAGTGTTTATTGGCAACAGCAGGGTAGCAAAGGCTTTAACTACAAGATGATGCAACGCACATTTAGGCCGAGAAGGCAACAGTCTAGAGTCTAGGTGATTCGAAAGATGGCTGGAGCACCGTGCAACTCAATCCTGAGAGCATTCATCGGCTTCCTTGAATTGGTGCATCCTGCACAGATGAGCTGTGTCTTGAAATCTGTTTCATTTTATAGGATGCAAAAACCTCCTCTCGCCAGTGCTTCCGCACCTCCCTTTCTCGTGCCTTTTGCAGACCCATTTGCCATGTTTCGACATATTTGACATCGACCTTTCTGCAAGAGTAAATGACCGTTGATCCCGCTGCATATTGAATATTGCATCAACCCGGATAATGTCGGTCGACAAAACAGTGTAAGGTTCAAGTATACTTGTGTTTCTCGTTAGTCCGATGTAAGTAAGCTTTGCATCGGCTTACTTGTTCGCTGCTTCCGCGTCTTCCTCTGGAGCAACGAAACTCCGCGGCCCTTCCACGGGCTTCCGCGCCCACAGCCGCAAACAGAGATCCACAGATCGGAGGGTTTTGTGCGCAGCTCTGGCAGTCTGGCCGTCCGTCTCTTCACAGCCTCTTAGAAGCCTCGTGGCTCTTGATCGCACCCGCTGAAACACTGACACGTGCAAAGTAGGAGGCAATACTCCGATGCCCGTGCTTGCCCAAGCTGCAAACGAATGCCGTGGAGTTCGTGCTGACATCCTTCGTTCCAACGGCCTTGGCCTGCACGAAGAGACTCTGCAGAGGTGTTAAATTCAGGTAGGGCCCTATCTGAACCGAGACACAGGATTGGGAACGCCCGCCGAGCAAGAACTGCCAATGATACAGAACAGTCCTAGCTGATCTGAGTGCCTCAAAACTTCTGTTCCTTGGTAGGAGCCCGTCTGCATAAACGTCACATGCGCAAGCCGAGCCCAGGCCGACTCCCCATGCTACTCCAAGGCCCAGCGCCTCCTCGTCTCGAGTAATTATGCCAAGTTTTCGCAGTGCGGTGCGTCGAAAGCAAAGGCAAAGCCAGTCTCCTTCCACATCCTTGAGGCTTCAAATCCACCAACAGCACGCTTCGGATATGCTCGGATGTCTATGATGGGAAGAAATGGACATGCCACGACGCAGAGGAAGGGAGTGAATGGCAAATTCAGCTACATGAGCCAGGCACTTAATCAGCAGCCGCCGGCTTCGCGGGCTGAGCTGTTGGAACCCTTTTTCGCAGCACATCCGTTAAACCCCTACAAGTGTATGCTCCTGATGGCATCATGGAGGCATCAAGCTCGAGGTCTGAAGTCTGACGAACACTCTCCCATCTTTGCGGGTGTTGTGCCTGATGTGCGACGGAGGTGCAGGCAGGCACTTGTGCAGTGTGTGGGTGTGTCATCGTGTGTGTGTGTGTGTGTGTGTGTGGCCACTGCTGAAATTGGACTAGGGAGAACGTGAGTGTGCGTTGTAACATGGAGGGGGCTGAGGGTGGGCGCAAGGAGGGGCTCAAGGAAACATGAGGAGGACGAGGAGCACTGTTGTGAGGAGTCGGAGTGGGGACCCCTGCTCTGACTAGAGTGAAAATGATGTCATCGTTGGTGTTGTCGAAATGTTCTGGAATCGCTGCCAGGACACGCTCCAGTCCTGGCTCACAAGCAAGCTCAAGTGCAGGGGCTGTGCCAAGGTAGGGCGGGCGTGGGTGGGTGGGTGGGTGGGTGGGCGGGCGGGCGGGCGGGCGGGCGGTGCGTGCGAGTGCGGTGCGTGATCGTGCGTTTCTGCACGCTCGTGTGTGCTGGTGCTGACACCCATCTCGGGTGAGAACACGTTCCGAAGACTCATGCGATGTTTCGATTCAGCTCCGGTTGAGGTCGATCTGCTGAGATGCTGAGCCCAGAGCTGCGTGCAAGTTCAGTCATCTGCCATGTAGCTGCAATGGAAGTACAAAACAGTGAAAGAACAACTGCTCCTCATGCTGGATTTAGTACTTGTTGCTTTCTTGGCTCGACTTGCCGGTGCCAACTCTTCCACTCAACCGAGATTCTTGGTAGAAATGATTGGCCGTTTCCAGTAACCGCGAGGGTACCGCAGTGGCATGCCTGAACTCCACTGGACTGAATTGGACTGGATCTACAAGGCAGCAGTCTCAGCAAATTTGTTGTCAGACGAGACACGTGAAGCCGTCCGCCTCGAAGGTCGGTGGAAAGTATGCCTTAGCAATTTCGCCCCAGCCAGGCCGTAGGTTGAAAGACTGATGAAGGACTTGACAGCCAAGAGTCGGCTGCCGCAGTCTTAGCTTCATCCCACAACGACTTGAGACACCTGAGATTGAAACCGACGTCGGCATTCCGAGGAAATAACAAATGCCGACCGCAACAACCTGTTCTTCCAGCCGAAGCACATGTGGTAGAGAACTTCCTTGGGTTTGACGCATGGTGATGCACACGGTTTATGTAACAAGTGCCCTGCACCCTAGGACGGAGGCTTGGCAACTTTACGGACGACCCTCACTATGTACAGCGTTTGCGTCCGAATTTCTGAAGCATCGGCGTCTGGCACATTTCCTTGCTGATAACCGCTGCGTCCTGCAATTTGCAACGGTGGCAAGCGCGAAAGCATTTCTCCTTCTCCGGGCGGGGGACTACTACTGCTACTACGACGACGACTACCACTACTAGTACTAATAATACTAGACTACGACTACTTTTTCCACTACTACAACTACTAGGACTACGAGCAGTCGCACGACGAGTATCACGAGTTTTTTTTTATAGTCTATTGCAGGAATCGCGGTGCGAATGCGGCAAGCACAACATCGTTTTTATTTTTGTGAGGGGGAGAGGGGGCGCGGGGACTACTATTGGGTAGCCGGGGCAAGAACCCAATACAAAGTCGCGAATAGCGGATCTGACCTCACCCCTGAAAAGCAGAACATCACTCTTTCTCTTGAAGGCAGGGGGGTACTAGTATCGGGACAAGACACCAATACAAAGTCGCGGATAGCGGATCTGGCCTCACGAACATCAGTATTTGAGAGCGCGTTGCAGCGCCAACAAAAAAACAAGGACCGAGCCGGAACTGAAAATGCCTTGGCGTCAACACAAAACCCTCATCCCCGACTAAATGCAGCATGCAAGAATGCTGGACTGCTCTTTGTTTTCGCTCGCCACGCCCTAGCGTGATCACATCATCACCTCGGCTTGGCTGAAGCATAGGCAGTTTTATCAAAGGACATCAATTCTAGAGATTATCAGGTCGCAGAGCACAAAGGCGATGTCTTCTGCTTTTGCATTCACCCTCCCCCTCCCCGACCCCCACGCCCGCACCCCCACACCCCCAAGAGCA